CTTCGAAGCTTTTATTTTTGAAGAAGTATCTCATATTAGCATTTTGGTATTCAGTAATTTTAAATCACAATTTTTAGATAGTGTTTTGTACGGAGCCCGCTAGGTGTCATGGGAGAAATGAATAAATAAAAACGGATCCTGACTTTGGTTCTCAGGATCCCGAGAACGAAAGTCGAGATCCGTTTTTATTTAGTTTTTTCTCCCGTGTCTCCTCGCAGGCTCCGTAGTTTTCTAAAGAGCCCGCGAGAGGACATGGGAGGAAAAAAATTATGGATCCTGACTTTCTTTCTCAGGATCCCGAGAACCAAAGTCGAGATTCTGATTTTCTTTCTCGGGATCCCAACTTCGGTTCTCGGGATCCCAACTTCGGTTCTCGGGATCCCAACTTCGGTTCTCGGGATCCCAACTTCGGTTCTCGGGATCCTGAGAAAGAAAGTCAGGATCCGTTTTTATTTATTTCTTCTCCCATGTTTCCTCGCGGGCTCCGCAGATAACAACTTCAGTTTATCAACAAAAAAACAACAACAATAATAATAAAAAGAAATTAAAAAAAGAAAAGTTTTAAACAGGTTTACAGTACATCCATTAGATTTTGTTTAGTAATAAATTTTGGAGGACAAGGGGTCATTTAGGCAAATTGTTTTGCAAAAACAACATTGACGCAAACCCAGCTCAGTCTGTGATAATCAGACTCAGCTGGGTTTGTTTATCTTTTTGCAAATCAGCTGTTTGTATTCATTTATTTTTTGATAGGGAACATTTGCTGCCTTCCCCCTTTTAACATTTACAATGGATATTAAAATGTTTTTATGTGATGTCCTGAATGAAAATGTGAAATGTGACAAAAAGAAGAAGAAGAAAAAAGAGTCAGACAGCATGTTTGTGTTTTTAGTTATTTAAAATGTGCAAAAATATGTGGTACACCTCAATAAAATTGCACAATATTTAGGGGCCAGACTGTACAGAACAGACACAGAACTATAGTTTGACATAAAAGTAATAATTATTTTTAAGCGTGTGTATGTTTTTTATAAAAGCATTTTCTTTCTTAACCACATATAATTTGTCAAACGAACAAAATAAATAAATAAAATTTGCTGCTTTTCCTGAATGTAAAACTCCAGCCTTGGTCAGTGTCTGTCAGTATATTTATTATAGCAAAACACAAGTTTCCCAGTGAGACTCTGTTTTTAGCTACACAGCAGCAGTTACATTGCCAAGCTTCCAAATATACGTATTAGCAGCTCTGTGGTTTTGTATGATTTGTAACAAAAACATTGTTTAAAACAAACAGTTTTTTTTCAGTCTGTCACTCTGATTCAGTCGGAGTAGTTTTGTTCCTTCAGAACAAACTGGCTGATAAAATATTGCGGGAATCTGGAGTTTTGTCTGTGTGCTGCTGGTCACTTATTGACTGATTTGTCTTCTCCTCCTGTGTGCTTTTAGGTGAAACAACGTATTTCCCATTAGTAGTTTCCGCAGACTGTGGCTGAGTGCACGTGTCCCGTCTCTGTGCTCCACGTCTTTCTGGAGGATGCGAGGCACTATCAGGCAGGCTGCAGCTGTTTGGGCCTTGCTGTTTGTCGGTGTCCATTCTGAGGCGTTCAGTTTTCTTGTCTGTGAACTAACCTCTTGTGCTCCTTTCTGTCAGGTTGTGCAGGGGTTTCCGATAAAGCCGAGCTCCTTGAACTGCTCAACCATTCACAATTATCCAACCGCACCACTGTTGACTCTGAGCTGTTTCCGCTGCTGCTCGTCTGCTGCCCATCTTGTGCCTTTAATTTCCCGTTTGTTGACACGGAACGGCCAGTGTCACCGCTGCTGTGACTGCCTGCATCAGAGACACGACGGAGTGAGGAGGAGGAGGTATTACTATCTCTTGAAGTCCAGGCAGAGATGGGGTTTTTTCTCTCCCAAATCTGTGTTCGGTAAGCGAATACAGCTCTGTGATGATATATGGTTTTCAGGGGAAGGCGAGTACTTCTGAAGAGTCCTGAACAGTGAAGTCTTGGTGGGAGGATGTGAACTTGATGGTTTAGGTGTAAGATGGCACAGAAAAGTCAAATTTGGTGTAAAGTTCGGTGCAGTGGAGAGACAGACATTTGTCCTGCTGACATTCTGAGAGGAAAAAAAAAGTCAGAGGAGAAAATGCATCAGGATATGAGTTCAACTACGATAATACATTTACTTTTATAAAGGCTGGATCGTATACAGAAGACACAGTAGTATGTCACATTACTTAAACACTTATACGAAAGAAGTTGCAAAACTGGACATTTTGCAAGTGCGTGACTTTTGCACATAACGTACTACCGCCATACCCACCACCACCCACTCCCTCAACTGTGAGAATTGTATGCACACGTCACTTTTACACTCATATGCATCCTTCACTTTACTTTTATCAGCATTAAGCTTCTACTATAGCTGCAATATTCAACTTTTTCTTGTATAAAGATCTCTATTTTTACATTACTGAGTACCCCTCCATTTCCTGTCATTTTTGTGTTGATGTCAGACATTCATCCTTATCTGTGTCCATGTTGTATTACACATTTACTGTCACTTTTATGTTTATTTACAATGTTACTGGATTGTGCAATTTCAGCTGATTACTTGTTTATTGTTGTAACTGGGAAGGAGGGTAACACAATTTCAATTCTCTGTATGTTTTGCACAAATGAAGCATTGACAATTAAACTACTTGAATCTTGAATAAATAGATTAAAATAACGTCCTGATGCATCTCAGTAATCCAGGTAGAAAAAAAATCCAAAAGAAAAAATAAGTAGGTCCTCTGGATGGGTTCTTCTTTAATACAAAAATAAAATAAATTAAAATAAACTTAAATCATTCTACTGTCTCGTCACAGGAGGGGATGAGACTTCATGTGATGAAGGTGGGAGCTTTAAGTCTGTTTGTATAGCTGCTCTAAGTTCTTTCAGTTCTGTACAGAGACAAACAGGTTTAAAATAACAGAATCATCTTTCTTAGTTTTGCATAGCATGTATACAACAAAATATAGTTCAAAACCTAAAAACAAAAATGCAGAAAATGACAAATAAATATACAGACATAGCAAAAAAACATTAAAATAGAAATGCAAATAGAGTCTTGAAATGATCTCTTATGGACTCTTTATGTTCTCACTAAGCCTCTCTGGGAGGCTTCCATGCTTCGTTATGCCACTGACATGCTGAAAATGAACTACTGAACACTTAAAAACTAGTTTCCATAGACATTTCAAAATTAACAGTGCTCTTTTTTCCTTGCAAAAATGTATTCTGGATTGAGCTCAAATCATTTTTATGTGTATTGTTTATTTGAGCTAAAGTAGAGCATGTTTTTTTACACGTCTTGTTATTTAATTCTGCGCCACCAGATGGCAGCAAAACCAAAGCATTCTCTTACCTGCAAGTGACGGTTCTGTCATGCATGGTCCACCCTGATGCTGTTGTTTTATATTTCCCTGCAGGAAACACAAAACACAAGAAAACTGTAAGAGTTCGCCTTAGTTGTGCAATTTCAGTCCCCATCCTATCAGCATGCAATTCAAAAATACTGGTGCAAAAAGTAGGAAAATGAGGGGAAAGCATTAACCGTGTTTAAGTCGAGCTGTTGGAAACTGCAAGGCAAATGAGAAAAAGAGGATAAAAATAACACAGGCAGAGAGGAGAAAGGAATGTGTGTGTGAGAGAGAGCAGCCACTAAACGATTGCGCAGCAGTATTCCATCATAATTTGGCCTCCGACATCCATATCCACAGCAAATGAAAACCATAGCGTCGTCCGTGTGTGTCTGTGTGCCAAAGGCATGAAAAAACAAAAAAGCTGATTTTAAAGAGTTATGAGTGAATGGTCGAGTCCTCTGCTCATTTTACACCAGCATGAATTCTAATAACTCTTTATAACAATCGCAGACGGCAGTCCGTTACACACAAAAACCCACACATACAAACACAGTGATTCAAACACACCCACATGTCAGGACTCTGACAGTGAAATCACATATCTCAGTTGTTTCTCTCCGCAGGACTCCAACCCAAACCTCCCTGGCTTGTCTTTTCAGAGATTTAATAAAGTATTTCTGGTGTTTCTTCCAGTGAGGAAACTAAAACCGTAAACATGTCTGCCTGTCTGGAGCTTTAAAAGTAGACTTTATGGACCGTGCAGAGATTAAATGCAAAACCATGACAGCAAACGTACTAATATGAAGGGGAAAGCTTTATATTTTTCCAGACATAAGAGCCTAAATTTATCACTGCACAGCACACATACACTGTCTGAATCACAAACAAAATTGAGCTGAAACCTATTGCCACTTTTTATTATCTTATTAACCAGTGGCGGCTGGTGGGGGTATTTGTAGGGAGGGCTAAGAGATATATAATAAAACACTGCAGATTGGATTCCAACAACAGAAGCATCCAAACAAAAAGAGTTTTGTGATTAGCCAGTTCTTTCACAGAAACCAGGTCACAGAAAACTTTCCTTTTGCCAGATTTGAATATCCTTTGGTGTATCTGCCCCCAGTCTCTTCACTTACAGTTTTTCTTCCAAAGACATGAATGAAAACGGGTGAAAATTGAAATAATCCACCTTGTTTTAGCTACTCAGTTTACGACAAACTACATCCACTCACTCGAGGCATGTTATTGTACGTCCACAGTGGCTGTGGCCTTGGGCTGACCCTGAGCTGAACAAAATTAGCTCCAATGGGCTGCAAACTGAGGGGGCGGGACAAGCTGTCTGTCAATCATTCTGTATCACGAAAGACATTGGGTCTGTGAAACGTTGTCCCTTTGGAAAGACTGGGATTTTCTTCAGACTGCTTGGCACCGGTTTTGTTATAAATTTCACAAAATGCCATATGTAGTTTTATTTTGTATTTAAGATGTTTACGCAGCAGCATCAACGTATTTGACTGCGTTTAACACAGCATCGCCTTCATGATGTCAGTGTTTGCAGAAAATACATTTTAATACCGAACAATGGTCTGTGTTCTGCAACGTGACTGCCTTTATCTGTACAGTCCAAGTATACAGTGGGGACAACAGCAGTCTGTGGTGTTCAAGCTGGCAGCAGGGTGGAGGGGTTTAAAATACACAGAGCTCAAAGGCAGCAGAAAATGTGACAACCACTTGCTGCTTAATAGCACGTCCAGTAGTCTGATTTATTTCCTGGATCACAATCAGGTAATCTGCACTTTGTTCAGAGCAACAGAAATGAGTCAAAGTCAGACAATGAGCTCTCATCTTACAGCAGGAGTGTGTCAGATGTGGCTGCAATAAAGACGGATAGGGTGTTGAACAGAAAAAGAGAATACATGTTTCAATTTCAGCATCTGTTATGTTTTTGTTTGGTTTATGTGTTGAAATGATTTGCAGATTGAAGCCAGTTTTATTGGAAAACAACATTCAGCATGTCAAACCAGTGAAATCACTGCAGCCCGTCATTTCAGAAGGTTCAGTTTATGTTCTGGTCAAAACAAAAACTGCAGTAAAACCCAGAAGTTAGCAATCAGGACCTAAAACTGTGATTTGGACATTCGGAAGGTTTTCCTGTTTAACTTGTCACTTTGTAAATGTTTCCATTTAAAACTTGAATCTAAATCCCCTTTGTCTTCAAACCACATTCAAACCACACACAAACTGATGACTTGAAATGAACTAATTAAGCTGTTTGCCACTAATTAGCTTCCCAATTAAATCTCACTATGGTGTAGATACATTTAATTGTAATTTTTAGCAGGTGTGGCTGAGTTACACTAAACAAACTGAAATATTGATATGAGCATTCACATTTATAGACGTTAAGAACGGAGAGATGTATGTTGCTGTAAAAAACTAAAAGAATTGCACAGGCGTTCCGCAGGGCAGGGTATAGTGCCCTTTCTTTTAACAGCTGCTGAGTTATTGGAATTAATGAGGCAGTTACTGTATCTCCTGCACAGCTCTGGCAACATCCAGAACTACAGCCACTGAAGGTGTTCAGCAGCTTTATGCCTTACTCAGACACATCACTTGTTTAGGGAAATAATTAAAAAGAAATACGCTGCAACTGTTTAAACAGTTCAGATAAATCTTTACAGTAAATGTCTCGGGAGGCAACAAGTACGCCTCCAGGTTTTAATGGCTGGAACAACACTGCTCTGGGGAAGGAAACTTGAATTAAATCCCCTCCTCGCTCTGCTTGACACAGTCTCACTTTGTTTATAGCAAACCGCCTTGATGAGGTTTCCAGGCATTGCCTGAACTGCTTTGTTTATCTTTCCGAAAGGAGCTTCACATAATAAATTTAAGAGGAAAAACTAACTAGCTATTTTTTTTCTTCATGTTCTTGTTTCACACCCTTTAAAAAAGGGCTGGAAACATACAAATTCCAGGCGGTAGCAAACAAAGAGTAGAGAGAGATAAGCTCAACATCTGGTCCACAGACAAGTCCTGCTTCTGACCTAATCCGGTTCCTTTCATGCAGGACCGTGAAGCCGAAAGGCAGACATGAACATCGGTGTGTTGCACCATGTGTGATGCACGTTTTGTGTGTGGGCATAAAGATGTCTGTACGCCGTTTGAATGACTGAAACGAGTATGATATTTTACTGCATACTAGTTAGCATACTTACCTTTATAAACTTTATCAGTGCTTCACTTTCTGACAAGAAGACGGACCTAAAATATAGATGATACAAGACAAACACAGCTGTTACAGTTACACTGATGTACACCAGATCAACTCTCAGAGTTTATTTTCTAACGTTTTCAAAGAGAAATAATGTCTTTTTTTTATCCCTTTGTAAATCCACACTTTCTCCTTCACTGGTTACACAATCATGCCAGACCTAATTCACCTTTTTTAAAGGAAAAAAAAAAGAACTCCTTTGCCGGCTCGGTCCAGTCTGGGATTCATTTTCTGACAATGGGACCTTTTGTTCTGGTCTAGTCAGGAAACGGGAAAGAGAAGGAGAGATAGAGACGGAGTGAGAGAGGTAAAGAGGAGCTTTTCAAAGGTGGCTCCAGTGACCATCGCCTGAGAGATGGAGAGAGGAAAAGGAGGAATGAAGTATGAGAGGGGCAGAAGCTGCAGACGAAGAATGAAAAAAATGTTATGGAAGAGAAGTGAGTAAAGAGGGAGCAGTAACAGAAACCTACGCTCAGACACTGGACAAATATTAAGACAGTTCCATAGTGTGACATGTCGACCAAAGGTTTGGGACAAACTAATAGAATTTAAGCTTGTGAAGGTCACAACCAAAGAATCGGAGAAAAAAAAACCCATCTGAAATACTGTAAATGAAGTTCAAAGAGAGGATTCTGTTTACATAAACAGGGCAGTTTTGATTTCATTGTGGGCAGTTTAGGATTTGAGAAGTTTCTAGAATAACAGTATTTCACCAAAGAAACAAACACACCCAACACAATAAAAGCCCACTGGTATATGGACTTTTCAAAGTGATCCTAATGAGACTGTGCAACTAAACAGTCATCTGAAATTCAGCTGTGATTCGTCACAAGTCTACAGAAGAACCAACACTCTGTGTAACTTACCTGTGTTGAGTGATAACGTTGTGTGTCTCTTTAACTTGTCTCTAATCGACTCAAACTCATCTTCAGCGCTGGACTGGTCTAAACGAGAGCTTGGTCTTCTGGAAGAAAAAAAATAAAGATTTCATTATATTTTCGGTATTAATCATTATTACTGTACAGTGCCCATGTATTTGTTAATTTGTGTTACGAACCTTCTGAAATTATCCCTATTTTTAAAGCTGACAGAGTTACTGTAACATGTCTCCTGGTGACTGAGGGTGTAGTGCATAGTTTCAGGTTTGTACCCAAACAATTGCACCATATCATCTCTGTTCCAAGAAAAGCAGAAACAGCATGAGAAATGTCTGATAACTGGTTGTATATATATATATATATATATATATATATATAATATGTACCACCTGAGACAACCTGATAGTGTGAACGTTACCAAATGTTAATATTAAAACATCATCTGAAATTAACGTTTTTATATGATTCAAAAAAATTTCTTTTGTTTTTAGCAATACTGCATGTTGTTATTAAAGTAACAAAAATTGTGAAAGTGAACTTTAGTTTGTGTGTGGACTGACAAATAAATAAAGGTATGTTTTCAAATGATAGGAGGCTGTATGGCAGTTTGTTCAGCCTTCTTATTTTTATAGCCTTTGCAATTGGAGAAATCTGTCTTTTCATGCTACTCAGACAAATACACAGAGCTTTGTGTGTGTGTGTGTGTGTGTGTGTGTGTGTGTGTGTGTGTGTGTGTGTGTGTGTGTGTGTGTGTGTGTGTGTGTGTGTGTGTGTGTGTGTGTGTGTGTGTGTGTGCATGTGTGTGTGTGTGTGCGCGTGCTTGACAGGGTGAATGGTTTTAGCATCAGGACCACACACGAGGAAGCTGGTGATAAATCATTTGACACTTACAATCTGCCTCACGCAGATTTAAAATGCACGTGAAATTTGGAGCCAAAAGTTTCTGCACCTTTACTTTAAATAAGCTGCGCTACGTCTTTAAAAACGTTTTTTGGCAAAAGTGGAGAATCAAATTAAACACAATTATGCACAAGCAATCGTTTTAAGTGAATGTTGTGAAAGCACCGCAAAGCTTTGGCAATGTTTTCTTGCAACAAAGTCAATTAAATTAAGCTAAAAATGACAAACAGAGGGCTTTCGAAGTGGCTTTGTTAAGTAGAAGTGTAATTAGTTAGAAGTGTGTTGGGTTTACTCCTAAAAGCCATCCAGCTGATATGCACTTGGGACACAGCCTAATTAACTGATCAAAGGCCTGAAACTCACTCAAACACACATATACACACTCAGTGCCTTGCATCAAGGTCAACAATTCATCCTGAAGGCAACATCAGAGGATTTCTGCTGACGTCAGTGTGTGTGGCACTTTTCCCACACAACCACTAACAATATGACATTTCTGTGTCTGTATATGTTTACTTGCAAGCCAATACACTAAAAGAAAAAAAACTGTGAACTGTGAAAGGTGATTTGTATAAATGAGGCTTACCTTCCAGTCATGCAGGCTTTCTCTTTGAGAGTCTGTAGCAACATCCTAACCTCAGCTCACACCAGCTCTTTCACAACAGGGGGGTCAGAGAGTGGGCAGCTTTGGGGGTGTGTGGATGGATTCTCTGCTCTGCTGTTATGGTTTCCATGTTGCTGTCTCCCCTGCCAGACCTCGTGCCCCATCACTGGCTGCAGAGGTTCCCACAGTGAAGTCATAAAGAAACAATACATAAGAACTATGAATAGATTTCTGATCTTGTGATAGTTCAGTAGTGATGATCTCAGTATTCCTTTTCTGCCATTCAAAATGTGACATATCTGGTTTTATTATCTTCATTCTTTCATAAAAATATTTAAACTGTGGTGAGCCTAACAGAATGTTATAATCAACCAGATCATAGAATTTCAATAATTTCAGTAAATACAAGCTTTTACTCTCTTGGACACAGACTGAACCAATATACTTTAACAATGACAATAAATAAAATAGCTTAGGTTATTTGTGGTGGTTTTTAGTAGACAGTGCATTGACATGACTTGTTCTGAATAGAGGGATGTAAAAACTTAAAACTAAATGGCACCGAACTGAACCCCACCATCAGACAAACGGGCCTGTGTGCTGTGAGCTTTTCACTCTCTGTAATGTGTGCACGTGTGTCTCAGCGGAGTCTGGATGCCATTAGCACCTTCACACCTGCTTCTTGCCAGTCATTTCTGCACGTTGCCATCTCCACTTCAAAGGAATACACTGGAGGGTACTAAACATGTCATTTCTGGATTCATATGTGCGTGCACATTCAGTCACACACTAACATGCGCTGTGTTTTGCACACATAAGCCTTTTAAATTCACACTGACTTCCTCTGTCTCTCCTTGGTAACTGAGGTGTTTATAATGCACACGCTAACAGGTTGTCCTCATCTTCAGACATTTCATGGTTGGCTTCAAGATAATCTTTTGTCAATTAATGTTAAAAAACTGTGTGCATGTATTTTTCCTCACCCAGGAGACATTTCAATATAACAAATCAACTCATTTTTTTAAACAAACCCCTTGATATTGTCACTACCTACAAATACCTTGGAATTACTTTGGATTCTCATTTGACTTATCGTGATCATGTACAAGTCTTAACCACTAAGTTGAAACAGAAATTATACGTTTATTCAAAAAATTAGATCCAATCTGACATCTTCTGATTCAAATATCTATCTTCATGCCATTATACTCTCAACCATGTCGTGCTGTTTACCTGTTTGGTCTTAGAACCCATAGTTAGGCTCTACAACAAGGCCTACAAAATTCATAAAAAACTTCCTGGTTGGACTCATCACTGTACAGTTCTTTCACTGTCTGATGTCTTGACTTTTCAGAATTATGTTTTGTATAGTGGTATTAATTTATATTTTCAGATCTTCCAAGGTGCCAATTATGGAACTCTCTGTGCATTGTTGCCCAAATCAAATTCTGGAAGTGGTCATTCAACTACACTCTAAAAATGAAATGTTGGATTTACTTAACCATGTTACGTGACCTGGTTCCACTTAACTGAGTTGAGTAAATTCAAAGCAATATGCTCATGTTCTTTGGTTAAAAAACTGGTATATTGCTTTGAATTTACTCAACTCAGTTAAGTGGAACCAGGTCGCATAACATCGTTAAGTAAATCCAACATTTCATTTTTTACAGTGTAGACCTGTTACAAAAGGAAAACTGATATTACCAACTTTTAAAAACTGTTACGGCCAGAGGTCTTTCTTCTATGTTTATACTAAAGCATGGAATGACATTCCTCGAAACATAAAGTCCATTTCAAAACTACARCCCTTTAAGAAGAATCTTGTCTGCCATCTGCTGGACACTTTTTGTTGTGCTCATATTTAGACGTCCTATTTTGCAAATGCTGCCTTTTTGAAATTTGGTATGCTTGTTTGTCTTTGTGTCTTTGGTGTATAATGACGTGATTGTGATGCTGTATTTCTGAGTGTTTTATGTGCTGCAGAACAGGAACCTGCTGTAAAACAGCAATTATGCTGAGTCAGGCTTGATTTTTAATCATCTTTTCCTGTTAAATAAATAAATCAATCAAATCAAATCAAGTCCCTGGATTTGTCTCCATCTTTCTGCTGAGATTGTTCTCATTTTGAAACTATTTTAAGAAACCACATCAGTCAAAAACTAATATGTGACCTATATTGAATTTAGGAATAGATTAAAGGAGAATAGCCCATTTCAAGAAGAAACAGGAGTAAGCTCTGATATTGCATGGTAAAAAGACACGAAAAGAGATCGTCTTTCTTCAGCTCAAACCACCTTAGACAATGAAGACTTTGATAAAAGGAGGAACAGCTTCATTCAGGAATGAAGAAATTGCCTTCTGATGTACTATCACTTTACCTTCTCAAAGGCACTGAATTCATTACAGGCTGCAAAAAAAAAAGAACAGCACGGATTAAAAAAAAAGATGAACAAAAAGTAGAAAGGAATGTGATTTGTTCCAGAGTGGGGAGCAATAACAGGAGGAAAACCTGCATGAACTTTCAAAACTTGATTGAGGTGCTTTGTGCTTTGATACTTTTTTTTTTACCTTGAAAGTTTGCCAAGGCGTTCAGCCTAAATCTTGCATTTTCTCTGAAAACTTCACAATCAGCCAGCACATATACTGGGGGGATGATTGTTGAATGTTTTAACAAAAAAAAAAAGTTCTCAGTGGCATATTGCACAGTTGTTACCGTGTGGTTTTCAGCAGTAAGCAGCCGCTGAACTCATTTGTGATCAGCAGCACGTGGTCTGGTTAGAAAGCAGAGGGAAATTGTGACCAGGTGGTTTTCTGCAAACACTGACTGGCCTTTTGATGCACTTTAGTGAGGAGAAGAGAATTACTAATAGAGAGGTTTCACTGCCGAACAAAGAGAACACAAACTGGCCCAATTTAGAAAAGAATAACCGTAGTAAAATATTGCAATGCTTGGACAGAAAGGTGTCAAATGTGAACACATTTAAGAAATACAATTTTCTATATATTAAAAAAAATCCTGCTAAAAGGAATTCATTGTTTTGTGATCATTAAAACAGACTTTATATTAACTTTTTATAGTTGAATAGAGAGTTTAATTAAGTTTGAATAAATATTCTAAGTCACATTTAGATCACTTTGTTAGTTTTTGTAATCAGGCATTCAAATTTAGTGTTGAAACTGCGTCCTACTTTTTTATTCACCCTGCCCAAAATTAAATCATTTTAAATATGACAGTATTCAGGTGGAAATTGTCCATAAATAGACTCAGCTTCTTTTTAGGAATCAATCAAAGAGCACAAAAAATAATGAATTTGCACTGAATGTGAAGCTTAAAAACAAGATGCCATGATAGAAAACATGCTGAAGTGGAGTCTGAATAACTCACCTCAGCGTGCACATTCGTGTACATGTCTAGTGTCCCAGTGCTGAACGGATCTTCAGCAGCTCTGATTCAGAGGCATGTCCAGCAACGAGGCTCCACAGGGACTGCCCGGGACACCAGAGCTGAGTTTCTTCAAGTGGAGTCACATTAAGGCAGTCTAGGAACACACAAAAAAGTAACTTTAAAGCACCTGGGAAATATTATGCACCAAAATGTTATTAATTTGTTACTTTGATTTGATACTTTTATTTGATACTTAAACAACCTTTTCAAAACTATACTGTAGATTTTGTTAACAAAATGGGAAGATACATTGATAAAGATTAAACACTAGATCAAGTCGATGCAAAAGTCAAGCAGATTATAACGGAGTAGTCCATCAATCATTTGTCTCATTTATTTTAAGTTAAATACATAAGCTTATATTTAAAAAACAAACCAAACAGTATTTTAAAGTTGTAGAAACAGGCTTAATAAACAAAACCAAAAATTAAAAAGATAAAATAAAGCCAGCAAAGGACAAGCTGTAGGTTGACTACCAGTCCCATAAAGTAAAATTGAAATTTAAAAATATTTGAGTTGAAAAGCATCCATTCATCCATTTTCTTCCGCCTAACCGGGGTCGGGTCGCTGGGGCAGCAGCTTCAGAAGGGAGGCCGAGACCTCCCTCTCCCCAGCCACTTCTTCCAGCTCCTCCGGGGGATTCTTTCTTTCGGTCATGACCCAAAGCTCATGACCATAGATGAGGGTAGGAACGTAGATCGACCGGTAAATCG